GAGAAGTTTTTGTGCCAGTGCAAAATGCCCAAATGCTTGCAGCAACGAATAACACATTTTGCTTCTCCATGTTGCCTACGCTTCAGTATCTTTTTCATGACCAAGTTCATTATCTTCCTCCTGTCACCATGATAAAAGCAGTACAGAGAAACCTGATACAACTCTTCTTCAGTTCCCTGCCAGCTCCAAACAATGGCAACAGACAAGAAGTTCACCATTTCCCCTCTTCCCCCCGCCTTTTTTTTTTTTTAATTTTATAAATTTAAGGAGAATAATAGCAGAATGCCTGGCTTAAACTATTCTCCTTTTACTAGGAAAGTTTTCTTCATATTCCAAAGCTAGAAAAACACACGCACCCCTCTCCTGGTGAGGTTAAACATACTACTCTGACTCCAGTGCATACATTTTCCCACAGTGTGTATGTGCCCCTTACATAAAAGCATCATCCTATCTCAATGAAAGATGTAGCAACCAATAGAGCTGTAAGTGGCAGTGTGGTTCACAATTCTGTATATAAGGTAAATGCAGAAGCTTTATCAACACAGAGCCCCAACTTATATTTATGTACTTCCTCTAACTTTTAAATATACTGTTGAATGACCTAGACAAGTTGTCCTGTCACAATTCTTAACTGCGCTCCAAGTCCATTCTCAAGCAAATCAAATAATCACCACTGACTTATTTTATAAAAACTCTTGAGAACCTGATGAAAGGCACACTATATAAGGCACAACTCTTAATACTGCAACAGGTAATCTCTGAAAGGTTGTGTAGTTGAAGAAAAGCCATTTCTTAGGTAACTCAGAAATATGTACTTGATACATGAACTTGTAGTAGTAACTTCTTCAAAACTGCCGAAAAATATTAATTTAGGGATTTCAATTTACAACCATCTGACTGATAGCCTAAGGTCTTGTCAGTCAAATACCTTAAGGCATCTGCAAATGCTGTACAACACTCTTAAGTGGGTGCACTGGACTAAGAGATACACAATAGCAACCGCATTTAGCCTGTAGATGGGTCCTGAAACAAGCACCAAGCATACAGCAATTAATACTACATATCAGTGTAGCCCTGCCTTTTATTTTGAAGAATAGCACTCCAAATTTTAAACTGCAATTTTATCAGAAAAATACTACCAACAAAATTGTTAGGTTTCATCAAGCATATAGTGAATGATTCAAAATGCTAAGGTTCATCAATACTTGGTGCATTCAGCTCCTTTCCACCAAAAACAATGGGAAAGTTCCCAAACTGAAGGAAACTACACTATGCAAACATTTTAAAAAGTATAAATGCAACAGCCTAGTTAATTGCTCTCATTCTATCCAATGCTTAATAAAATAATGCAACAGCTCATACAGTACATTTTTAAACAAACAAAAGATATTTAAAGCAAGATAATTATCACCAATCAGTATGCATTTACTAAAAACAAATCTCCTCCAGAAAACCTGCTAGGTTTCTGATATCACAAGTTTGCTTCATAATATTAACAGCACTGAAGCAATGTTCTAATGCAGGCAGCACTGAGTTTTAAGTACAATAAAAAAAATGAACAAGACATATTAAATGCACTGAAAAACAGTTAAAAGATGGAGCCAGCCTCAAAATACCACTAAATGAGGATCTTTGACTGAATGTATTTCTAATAGGGTTCCTTGGCAATCAGTTCTTAGCTTTGGAATCATAGAATCATTTAGGTTGGAAAGGACCTTTAAGATCACCAAGTCCAACCGTTAACCTAGCACTGCAAAGTCCACCGCTACACCATGTCCCTAAGCACCACATCTACAGGTCTTTTAAACACCTCCAGGGATGGTGACTCAACCACTTCCCTGGGCAGCCTCTTCCAATGCTTGAGAACCCTTTTGGTGTAGAAATTTTTCCCAATCTCCAATCTAAACCTCCCCTGGCACAACTTGAGGCCGTTTCCTCTTGTCCT